CGCCCTTCAGCAGGCTGGTTCTCTTTTAACACCAATTGGCGACACCCCCAAATTCGTCTCTATAGATAAGTAGAAGTTACCCCCTTTCTAAAAGCTCAAATCCAAGAGTTGGTTGATGTACTGCCTCTCGCACTTGACTTAAGATCAGTCTTGACCATGAAGAACATGTTGATAGTGAGGATGAGTCGTCCTATTGGTAGGTTATTTCCGTTGGTTTTTTTTATTGCATGCACACACGTTCACTTATTATTTTTGCTTTTAGTTTTTCGGGACTGATGAGTTTGGGTGTGTGCATACAGATATGGACTTTGATCTTGATGAGGTATTGAAGACCTTGCTAGGAGGCGATGAGGGCTCTGCTCCCGTTGATGGTAAGCTTTTGTGTTCACCTCCCTTTTTTTATCCTCATGCTCTTTTACCTTGTGATCTTAACGGATTCTAACTTACATGTGTAGGGGCAGAGCTTGATCTTGAAGGGTCATGGATTCCATGCCCGACCGGGGGCAGGGGGATGAGGTGGATCCATCACCTATCCCTTCAAAGAGAAGGTGGGCGGTCGACAAAGGGGGAAAGTCTCAGGCGATCAACGAGACCTCCCAGCCTTTAGACGAGCCTCGTGAGGTGGCTCTACCTCCTAGGTCGGGTGCTTCCAGTCGTGCACGATGTGAACACGAGGATTTACTTCCCAACTTCGAATTTTCTCCCACTCGGGGCTATCATGAGATGGGAGTGCTCAAGTCTTTGGTGACGCCTGCTCGTTCTAGAGCAATTGCAGGGCGTAGTGCAGATGACATTGAAAGGGCTGCGGCTATTTATCTCTAGAGGGTACATTTCCAATTTCACATTTTCTTTTATGTTGGGTCCTTCATTTTAAGCTTGGTTTTAACGCTTGACTTTTATTCTACGCCCTCACTTCTTAGGTGGTAGCCCTCCAGACCGGACTCGCTGAATCGAATCACCGCTTGGTGTTGGAGTTGAAGATTCTTACTGAAGAAAAGAAAAAGGAGGCTCATCACTACAAGAAAAAGATATCCTCCTTGAGAAAATCTCTGGAGACATCGGATGCTCGAGCTCGCGAGCAGGAGACGGAGAATGACAACTTGCGTTCTGTTTGGGCTCGCACTCTGGACTAGGTGATTGAGAAGTATAAGACCTCAGCTGAGTATGCTAGAGATCTCGAGGTATTTGTGGAGCAGTATAAGATGTCGTCTGATTATGCTAAGGTTTTGAATTCATATGGGAGGAAGGCGATGCAGCATCTATCAAACTCTCTAAGGAGTGGATTATGGCTGAGCATCCTTCTATAGACCCCTTTGGTCTAGATAGGTTTCTTGCGTAGCGCAAGGGAAAGGCAAGTGGAGCATAGTCATCCAGGTCACTTGGACGTTCATTACGAGGTGGCAATGGGGATGTCTCCTCTTCAAGCTAAAGTATTTATTAGTTGTTGTTTTCTTTGCTGATTTTTCCTTTTTCGTGTTTACTTTTGTTTAGTCTCATTATCTCCTTCTTGTCCGGGGTGTAGTCAAGAATTTCTCATATGTATAAACATATTTTTCGTTCGCTATTATTAGTGTTGAGTGCATTGTTCCTTCAACTTGCTGTCTCTCATGTTGTCCTTCTTCTATTTCTTTTCACTGTTTGATGGAGCGGGGGAGTGGCTATCAGAGTTTAGTGGTTGATGGCCCTAGCCAATTTTAGCCTTGTGTTACCCCGTGCCTAGCCGTGTAGGCTATGTTGACCGTCGGAGAGGGGTCTAGCGGTTAAGGGCCTTAGCCAATTTTTGGCTTGTTAAGGCTCTCCGCCTAGCTGCGTAGGCTATGTCAACCATCGGGAGAGGGGTTTAGCGGTTAAGTGCCTTAGCCAATTTTTGGCTTATTAAGGCTCTCCGTCTAGCCGCTTAGGCTATGTCGACCGTCGGGAGAAGGGTCTAGTGGTTAAGGACCTTAGCCAATTTTTGGCTTGTTAAGGCTCTCCGCCTAGCCACGTAGGCTATGTCGACCATATGTCTTCATGGGATGAGGGGGAGTCTGAGACTGTATATCGGTATAAAAATACTTGGATTTGTGAGCTCAGTAAGCGCACCGTGACATCCTAGCTAGGCTGGCCCTTCCTTAGCGCCCTCATCACTTGCTACTACTAAGGTTTTTCATTGAATAAACAAATGCAACTAAGGGTGCCTCAGTGAGGCATTACATAGAGAGAATTAACAAGGCAATCTATCTACTGTATTTACAAAAGCGTAGTCCATACGTCTATTCTAAAATTTACTGGTAGTATTTTTTGAGATGCTCTGCGTTCCACGGTCTTCCCAGTGGTCGTCCCTTCATATCTTTCAAGCTGTAAGCCCCCTTTCCTAGGCTGCGGATCACTTCATATGGGCCTTCCCAGTTTGATCCGAGTTTTGCTAAGGGGCATCCTGCTGCTGCCGCGTCTTTTAAGACGAGGTCCCCTGGTTGGAAGATTCTTGGTTTCACTCTCCGATTGAAGTATTCGGCGGCTCTCCGTTTATAGGCCATCATCTTTATTGCTACCTTCTCTCTTACTTCTTCTAGTAGGTCGAGTTCTACCCTGGTCGTGGTGTCATCGGGCTGTCTGACTTTCATCCTGCCTGTCTCACTTAAAATTTTAACTAGGACTAAGGCTTCCATCCCGAAGGTTAGTCTGAATGGCGTCTTCCGGTTGCCTCTCGTGGAGTTGTGTGGTACGCCCACAGCACATTGGAAAGCTCGTCTGCCCAAAGTCCCTTCTCCTTTTCCAATCTGGTCTTCAGATCCCAAAGAATGACTCGGTTGGTCACTTCAGCTTGCCCGTTCGATTGTGGATGAGCGACCGAAGTCAGTCTATGGTCGATGTGATAACTTGCACAAAAAGCTTTGAAGCTATGATTGTCAAATTGTCCGCCGTTATCTGTCACCATTACCCTGGGTATCCCGAATCGGCATATTATATTTTTCCATACAAAACCCTATAATCTTGCAGTCGTGATGGTTGCAAGTGGTTCTGCCTCTACCCACTCGGTAAAGTAATCGATGGCGACTAGCAAAAACTTCCTTTGTCCCTTGGCTAAAGGTAGAGGACCTAAAATGTCCATCCCCCACTGAAAAAGTGGGCACACTCCAAATATGGCTGCCTGTTGCTCGGCTGGGACGTGGATCAAATTTCTGTGTCGTTGACATGTGTCACACTTTCTTACTAGTTCTTTGGCATCTCTTTTCATGGTTGGCCAGTAGTAGCCTTGCCGTAGAATTTTGAAAGCAAGGGATGTTGCCCCTTGGTGGTTACCACAAGTCCTAGCATGTACTTCAAATAGTATCTCTTTAGCTTCCGAGGGTCGTATGCACTTCAGATATAGCATGGTGAAACCCCTCTTGTAAAGTTGCCCATCAATGATGGTGAATGAGGCTGCCCGAGCTCTCAACCTTCTTGCTTCAAAGGGATCTTTCGATGTTTTATTCTCTGCGAGGTATTTGATTAACGGATCCATCCAGCTTTCCTCGTACTCAATATTTTTCACCTCAACCCAGCGTTGGATGCTAGGTTGCTGTAAGACTTGCACGTTTGCTGTTCACGGCAGAATTCTTGGGTTTGCCGATGCGAGTTTCGCTAGTGCATTTGCCAGCTGATTTTCCTTTCGTGGGACCTTTGTCATCCTGAAACTTGTGAACCCCCTTTGTAGATACCTTACTTTCATCAAGTAGGCTGCCATCTTCCCATCCTTAGCTTCATATTCCCTCGACACCTGTCTAACTATCAGCTGTGAGTCACTGCAAACCTCTACCGAAGACACCCTCAGCCTAGCTGCGAGTGATTACTGCTTTATACTCAACATCGTTGTTAGTGGAGGGGAACTCGAAGTGTAGTGAGTATTCCAATTCCTCGAAGTCTGGTCCAATCATTATGATTCCTACCCCTGATCTTTTCGTATTTGAAGAATCGTCCAAAAAAACCTTCCAATCTGTCTTTTGACCTTCTGGGTCTTGATGGGGTGGTGAGCTTAGCAATGAAGTCTGCCAGAGCCTATGCTTTGATGGCGGTCCTTGGCTTGAATTCAATGTCAAATTTACTCATTTCAATTGCCCATCTTAGCAATCTTCCGAACTTTCCACCGGCTGTACCAAAAACACATTTCTCAGGGTTGAATTTTAGATTATTCTGTCGGGCTATGTCGAACACTCTCTGTAGACAGGCCACGTGGTCGATGACCTTAATACTTTTTACCACCATACCGTCGACGTAGGTTTCTATGACATTTCCAATCAACTCCTGAAAGACCCTATTCACCATCCTCTGGTAAGTTGTCCCTGTATTCTTTAGGCCGAAAGGCATGGCAGTGTAATAGTAGGTTCCAGAATCTGTGATGAATGATGTCTTTTCCTGGTCGCACTCAGCCATAGAGATTTGATGATACCCCGAGAAAGTGTCTAGGAAGCTAAGCCTCTCGTGACCCGATGTGGCGTCGATGAGGTGGTCTATCCGTGGAAGCGGGTATGAGTCCTTAGGGCATGCCTTATTCAATTCGGTTTAATCTATGCACATGCGCCACTTTCCATTTGACCTTTTTACTAGCACAATGTTGGATAACCATTCGGGGTACCGTACCTCTCGAATGAAACCTGCTTGCAGTAGCTTTTCTACTTCCGTCCTTGCTATTTCTTGCCTTTCGGGGGCGAGGTTCCTTTTCTTCTGCTTCACTGGTTTGGCTCCGGGTAAGACTCCGAGGCGATGCTGAGCGAGTGTTGGGCTAACTTTGGTGATATCACTTGGGCTCCATGCGAAGACGTCTAGGTTGTCTGTCAAGTACCTCACCAGCTTCCCTTTTTCGTTAGAGTCCAACTCGGCCCCGATGCTGACCTCCCGGCCCTCCATTATGGAAATTTTTCGATCATGTTAAGTGGCTCAATCCGCCCTCTCGGAGGTTTGACTTCTAACATCATGACTGATGGGGCTTTTCTGACCGATATACTGTCAACATAACATTTCCTGGATGCTTGCTGATCCCTTCACACACACCCAACTCCCCTGCTGGTTGGGAATTTCAGGACCTGGTGATAGGTCGAGGGGATGACCTCAGCCGTGTTGAGTAACGGCCGACCGTAAATTGCATTATAGGCTATGGGAGTCTTAACCACCAAAAAGCTCACCATAATTACCACAATGGTTGGATATGTGCCTCGCATGACCGGGAGCTCCACAGTACCTTCTGGGATCACCGTGGCTCCTCCAAAGCCTTGCAAGCGGGTGTTCACGATTTTTAACTTGTCAGGTGGGACCCTTAGGCCTAAAAAAGCGTCACAGGTGAGTACATTTGCGGCACTTCCCCCGTCGACCAATACTTTTTTGACGTCAAAATCAGCTATGTCGCCTACTATTACTAGGGCATCATCATGGGGGTGTGCCACGCCTACCAAGTCTTCCTCACCAAAATGCTCTGGTTGAACCTTGCCTTCTTTTGGATAGAGCAGATCTCGAGAGTGCGGGCGTAGTTTTTCCTTGCCGAGTGTGAATCTCCCCCTCATACTAACCCTCCTGTAATCATGTTTATCACTCCGGCCCTAGATGGGGGACAACCCTCCATCTTTTACTTTCCCCGGTTGTCCTTCACATACTTGCCCAAGAGACCCCACCCTAGAAGGGGCTCGATCTCCTCCTTCAGTTGCAAGCACTCTTCAGTATCATGCCCGTGATCGTTGTGAAAATGATAATATCTGCCTTGGTTTCTTTTGCCCACAAGCGTTACCATGGGTCTCGACCATTCTAGCTTTTTCATGTCTCGTATTTCCACCAATAGTTTGGCACGTGGGGTGTTCAAAGGGGTGAATGCCCTGGACTCCTCTCGTTTGTGCCTGGCTGGCCGATATTGGGATGCCTTTTTCACCATCTGCTCACTCATTGGCCTATTTTGGTTGGCAGGTCTTAGCTCATCCCTCGCCTTGCGCTTGTGACTTTCTACTTCCCATCCTTCTTTGAGGTTCTTTGTGACCTTCTCCGCCTCCTCAGCATCAACATACTTGTCTCCCTTTTTCAATAGGTCATGCATTGATTCTGGGGGGTTCTCAGAAAGTGACATCTTAAAAGCTCGGTTCCGATTTCCATTCATCAACGCAGTCATCACCGCCGACATTTGAAGGTCCTCTATTCTAAGGGTCGCACGGCTAAATCTGGCTAGATATTCCTATAGAGACTCATCTTTCTCCTAGACCACCTGCATCGGTCCAATGGCTGTCCTCCTCTTTCTCTTGCTACTCAGGAAGTAGGCTATAAAACTCCTGGAAAGTTCATCAAATGTTCGGATAGACCGGGGGGCAAGTGTTGCCACCTAGTCTCTGGCTTCCCTCCTGAGAGTCGGGGAAAAGACCAGCACATTACCGCATCGGGCGCTGCATAGAGTCTCATCAGATCAACGAAGGTCCACAGGTGGTCAAGCGGATCTATGACCCTGTCGTAAGCCTCTATCGTAGGCTGCTTGAAGCCTTTAGGTAAAGGGACCGCCATGATCTCGGGCGCGAACGAGTCCTCTTCTAGGACTATCTGCCTGCGTTTGTCTTTTCTTTTAGATATCGCGTCATCAATTTTCTTCGTCATGACCTCCTCCATTCTCCGCTCCAGATCCGCCAGGGGTGAGACGGACTGTAAGACCGTCATCCCTGGAGCCCTTGAGCCTGCGGTCATCGGTTGGATGGCAGACGGTGTTTCTATTTGTACCTCCTAGGGTAGAGGCGGGGCCTTTGTCGAATGCGGTGGGAGGACGGCTCTCTGCGTTTGATTTTGTAAGAGGGTCACATGGCCACTAATTGGGTCTTTAGGGCGCTGAACTGCTTTGCGTCACATACTGCAGCGGTGGATCGGGGCTTCTGGCGATCGATTCTGATTCTGCCTTCGTCATTGCTGCTCTTAGGCGTGTGTCACTTCTTGTTCGTCTTCTCGACATGACCTCTGTGTTCAGTGGAAAAAATTCCCACAGACGGCGCCAATGAAATGGTTGTGGAACAATACCCTTCTATCTGCCTGGTGGCGTTCAACGTTCTGGCTACTTCGTCAAGTGTGTGTGACCTGAAAAACGAAGGCGGCGCTTCCTCCCCCATTTTACCTCTGGCGTGAGAATTAGTTTATAGACTTGGAAAAAATGCAATTGGAATTCAGATGACTAAAAAGAGAGAGAGAGAGAGAGATCCTGTTACCTGTGTCACATCCGAGGGTATTTATAGATATTGGGAGCTGGATAACCGCTGGGCGGTTGTGATGCCATGTGTCCCACGTTGGCATTTCCACTACCCCCACGTTCTGAGTGGGGGCCTTTAAATTCCCGCTTGGAGGTTGTGTCCGTATTAACCACCATGGAACATAGTCAATTCACTAGATTTTATGGCTAAGTGTTTAGATAGGCAATTCCATGCCAATTGAAGACTTCGCGTAGAGGTAGAGTGATCTCTAGGGTTAGTGATAGAGCGCCCCTGGGGAGTGATCTACAGCCTCGCGTAGTGGTAGAGCGCCCCCTGGGGATAGTGGTAGAGCGTCCCCTGGGGGTAGTGGTAGAACGCCCCTGTGGGGTGGTCGACGGCCTCGTATAGTAGTAGAGCGCCCCCTGGGAGTAGCGGTAGAGCGCACCTGGGGGGTCAATGGTCGTGCATTGTGGTAGAGCACCGCTTGGGGATAGTGGTAGAGCACCCCTTAAGGGTGGATGGCCTAGCATCGAAGTGCAGCGATCCATCTTGATTGTCGCCGAAGGTGGCTTCTCCTACTAACCTATATCACTTTGTATCCCTCTCTGTTTTCTTCTATTTTCCTTGTGTAAACGTGTTAATGTCTAGTTAATCAAATTTTAGGTGATTTTTTTTTTCTTATCAAATATCATAAATAATCCATGAAATGTTTGGAAACATATTAGGCAAAGTTGGACATCGCTTTTAAAGGGAAAGTGGAAAACCCTTGGCATGCACAAAATCTAGATCAATATGATGCCAATATGCGGCAGTTTTATATGGTCCAATCTATGGAATTTTTGAATCGATCCCTCGAGATGGAATGTCTGTACACATTGTGCTTGTTTTATAATTTTTTTTACATGCCACTCAAATGACAACCTACATCAGATTCAGCTGATTTGTTCAAACTGTTAAGCAGAGATTATAATCTAGAATGAAATTTTTTTTGTTGATTGTATTGATTGCAACTGAGAGGGAGGACAATGTACATCTGACACAAATATTCACTTCCGACGTGTAAAAGATACCGTTGACCCTTTGAACATGGACGATTGCAAGTTTTTCCTATATATCTTCCTAATTTGTGTTTTTGCTAGCATTCCAGAGCAGAATTTAATTGGTCAAACTTTAATCTTAATAATATATTTTATGAGATTCACAACATTTATTAATTTGTCAACTATATATCACATTAATTTTTACCAAGATCTGTTATTTTCTTATCAAAATCTTTGTAAAAGCAACCCCTAATCCACAAACCTTAGGAGAAAAACTTTAGTAAGACAATTTTATAACATGGTAGAACTTACTGTTTAATCATGACACCTCGGACTTGAATAATTCAAATCATGACACTTCGACATTCGAATGACGATATATGGTTTAGGTTCTATATAGCGAATTATAACATTTTCAACAACCAATTCAGGTACTCAAAACATGTTAATCCCAATACCATCTAAACATTCAAGTTTCCAAAGGGAATTCAATTTTTAAGAACTTTTAAATACTTCTTTCTTAACTCAGAAATTATATCCAATAGAGACAGCGACCAAGTCTGAGGTTGTCGTAATATTCAGTCCAAGGTAGTAACTACTCAAAATAAACGGAGTGGAAGTATCGCATGGTCTATGAACTATGGTAGAAACATCCCATCAGCAGTGGACAGGTTGCAATATATTCCACAAATGTAATTGATAGAATCATGGACCAGTTTAATTTTTTCCATCCACTTGCACAAGAGATACAAACTGATGTATGGCACGCAAGCAGAAATTGAATCTGTGGCCTCTTTCTTGCGTATTCCAACACGCAAAATGAAAAACCAGTAAAACATTGCACAAATATTCAAGAATTTCACTATACAGACACTGGACTCACAGATTGGTCAATACTTGCGACTTTCTTAAAATGACCCTTTATTAGTTTAATAAATAAGGAAGACACAGACAACCAACCATTTGTGTCTGAAGCTTGGAATTCATTTCACCAAAACATGAAATACACAGTTTTCTTGGCGTCTTTAGATATTTGCATATTCTGTCTTATCCTTTTATCAAGAAAATCTTCGGCTGCTGATTTTTTGTACGAAGCATGCGTGCCCAGGAATTGTGGAAATGGCCCAAACATTACATTCCCATTCTATATTGAAGGTTTGCAAGAATCCTACTGCGGTTACCCCGGATTCCATCTCAAGTGCGGCAAACATGGCTATCCAACGATTAATTCAACCGAAAATGACTATGTAGTTGAAACCATTTCCTATCCCAGTCGTTCTTTTCGTGTTTATAATGCTGCTGTTTTGAGTAATTTAACCGGTAGATGCCTTCCACAAATCAAGAACACGACACTTCCTATTGGAGAGTTTCAGTATGTTAATGTAACAAGTCTTTATCTGTTGTCCAATTGTATTGAACCGTTGCCTAAGGATCTTTCGCAATACATGGTTGACTGCCAGGGTGAGAATAGAGATAATTTGGATTTAGCAATTTTGGATAAGGATGAAAATTTGCAGAAGGGACTGGAAAATTGCGAAAAAAATGTGGTGGCGCCGGTGGAAGTGCATGGAGATAAAGAGAGGATTGTAGTGGGGGAGTATGAGGAGATTTTGAGAAGAGGGTTTGAACTGAATTATTTGTCATCCAGTGACTGCAGTGCATGTGAGAGAGAGGGCGGCAGATGTGGCTTTAACACTACTACACACAGTTTCAGGTGCTTCTGCCCTGACAGACCCTATTTCCGGAGTTACGGACCACTACGTACAGTTTCAAGTAGGTTATTATCGAAAAAAAAAAAAAAGTAAGTTATTTCTTTTTTGTTGCTTTCGATTTATGGAATCTGATAATTGAAAACTTAAATTGAGAATATAAAATAAACCACGAGAAAAGTTTCTTAAAACATGTTTACTTTTCACACGATAACAAATAAGATTTTAACACTTGTTCTTGCTTCCATAAAAAGGTCACAAGGGTATGTAACGTATGTTAACAGAACATGTACTGTAAATTTAGTAGACTAAATTTTTTCTTCCGTGTTACCTAAGTGGCTAAGTCACTTATTGTGGTTTTCGATTAGCAACCAGTGCGTTGCTACAACCAGTCTCAACGAAAGATATATCAAGGCCTTGACCCGTGCAAATTTCAGCCCTTCCCAGATAGCCATGCACTCACCCACCAGTAGATCAATATTACTTGCGAGAACTTTGGGAAAGGCAGCCACCATTTTGCCAGTTCTCATCCCTACAAATATCCCAATCCCATAGACTTTTCGACCCAATTCATTGCATCAACATTCTGTTAATAAGTAGCGATTTCAAACAATTATGGACTAGGTCCCATGGGCACCTGATGTATTGGAGGTAAGATTTATAGTTTTAGCCCATTTCATTTTGTTTTCGTGGACTGGCCCAGTGAATTTGAAATTTATGGACCGGGCCCACGTTGTTGTAACTATCTATTTATTAACAATTGTAGCATACTTGAATGTGAAATAATACTAATAATTCAACCTCACCTCCACACCACCTCCACTCATTTAAAAATTTGAAATCGCTCTCTGGAAATGTTCCTTTTTGTTGAAAATTTGTTCAAAATCAATGGAATGATGATGGACTTATTGTTGGGCTCAATTGTGGAATTGGTAGAATCAAGAGAAATTGAAAAATACAAAATTTGAATTTTTGCCTATGCGTACGCACAGACTTAATTATGTGCGTACGTGAGATGTATTTTGGCAAAATCAGAATTAAATTTTGCTTCTACTATGCGTACACACGATTTATATTATGCGTACACATAGTGTTAAAAAATAGCCGTTGGCTGATTTTTCAATTTGAAACTTGGGAGCCGTTTTGGATTAAAAGTTGCCACTTTTCATCTTGTTTTGACACTATTTCATGATGTATTGA